CTGTTGAGTTCGGAAACATCTGTAAAATGTGCATTTTGTAGGAGTATAATAGCACAAAATATCTTGTAATATAATGCAATATGTTACTTGAACCGTAATCGACGTAGTATGTATGTAGCATAACTTGCTGTTGACAGCATTACGAGTGTTTATAATTTAGATCGTAGCTACATCTCGATCTAAATATTTACAATGGGTTTGTATATACTATGGGTTTGAGTGTGAATTGTTGACCGAAGCTGGTTGCAAATAAATGCAAACAAAAGACTTGATTGGAATAAATCATCTCTCCAATTTATTCGTCAGTTAAGTATGAATGTACCAACGTTTTTAAAGCGTTAATACTAAAATGAAAATATTATAAGTGATGCTAATGTGCCTAACATTGTCTGTCGGTATATAAACAAAGATTTATAATAAATCAATACCCACATAGTGGTAACAAAGTATATTCCTGGTTTAACATTCTACAAACATGCTTATTTTACGATATACCTACATCTTATTTATTTAACTTTTACTTATGCTTAAATAGCATATTCAATAGAAAATAAATATAAATTTAAAATAAATACAAACATTTGATAAAACATTTTATAATACTCTAATTTTAAAGGGCCTTAAAGCGGTTAATGGATTTAATTTTATATGATATTCCGATCGCTCTTCAGCAGTCATTGATAACGACTATTAATTTAAATAAATATTAATTTTATGGTCATTAATTATAATCAGTCTTTGATAGTATTTATTATATTATGTGTTATCGAGATATATCATATTATGAAATTGGAGCTCAGTTAAAGTTATAAATACCAATATTTATTTGGTACAATCACTTAAATTAGACCTAGAAATAATTATTAAAGCGTCCTCTTCGCTACCGTCAATTGAGCGACTTCCACGACAGACATAACAAACCTGCAACATCTACCAGCATCAACAAAATCGACAATAAAACCATAAAACGATTCACCAGACGAGAGGAGGTTGATTCCTGCTGCCGTTGTGGCAGTAAAAATCACAAAAGTGACAGCAGTACTTGCCCTGCAGTTAATGCTAATTGCATAAAATGTGGATTTAAAGCCCATTTTCAAAAACACTGCCAAACCAGGGCCAATAAACGAAAAAGTTCTAACTTTCCACCAAACAATAAATATAAAAAACCCAAAGTTAAGTCTTCCCAAAACAAAGGATCTACATCTGTAGATTATATTTTCCACATCGATGACGATGCAATGATAGACTGTCAGGTAGGTGGAGTTCAAATTCAAATGCTCATTGATTCTGGTAGTAAATCTAATATTATAAATGATCGAACCTGGGAGTACATGAAGCAATCTCAAGTTAGAGTCTCTAACCAAGAGAAGCTTTCCGACAAAACGTTCCTGGCATATGGTGCCAAAGAGCCATTAAAGGTACTAGACTCATTTGAGGCTCCAATAAAGGTGGGGTCAAATTTATTAATTTCAAAATTTTATGTTATTGAAAATGGATCTAGGAACCTTTTAGGAAAGCAAACGGCTATTTCTCTAAAAGTTTTAAAATTGGGTCTGGGTGTCAATTTTATCGAACAAACACCATTCCCCAAATTCAAAGACGTTCAGTTAGAAATCATGTTTGACAAAACAGTTCGCCCAGTTTGTCAACCTTACAGACGTGTTCCGATTCCTTTGGAGTCAAAAATAAACAAAAAATTGGATGAACTAGTACGATTGGATATAATTGAACCGGTAAATATGCCTTCTGCGTGGGTTTCTCCGATGGTGCCAGTTTTGAAGCCTGATGGTGATATTCGTATTTGTTTAGATATGAGAATTGCTAATAAAGCCATTATAAGAGAGAATCATCCCTTGCCTACCATGGAACAACTAATTCCTAAGTTTTGTAAAGCAAGTTTTTTTTCTAAATTAGATATTAAAAATGCTTTCTATCACGTTGAATTGTCAGAAAATAGCAGAGAAATTACAACATTTATAACTAGTAAAGGACTTTTTAGGTATAAAAGACTAATGTTTGGAATTTCTTGCGCACCTGAACATTTCCAAAAAATTATGGAAAAAATGTTATTACCTTGTGACGGTGTCGTAAATTTTATAGACGACATCGTTGTTTTTGGACGAGATATGAAGGAAAGTCAGACTAGGCTTAAGCACGTTTTAACAGTACTTAGAGACAACAATGTCTTACTGAATAAAAGTAAATGTGTTTTCAACGGAAAATCTATTCAATTTCTGGGACACGAACTCTCGGCTTCAGGCGTTAAACCACTTGACAAATACATCAAAACAATTGAGACATTTAGATCACCGGAAACCATCGAAGAAATCCAAAGCTTTCTAGGGCTAATTAATTTCGTTGGAAAATGGATTCCCAATTTGTCCACCTTGACAGAACCAATTCGTCAGTTACTTAGGCAAAAAGTGCATAAGAATGCTAACATCACAGCATTTTGGCATAATCCGCAAGCAGAAGCTTTTGCAAAATTAAAGGATTGTCTCTCCAAGATTCCAACCCTTGGCTACTATGACCCAAAAGATCGTACCCAAGTATTCGCTGATGCGAGTCCCGTAGGACTAGGTGCTGTACTGATTCAGTACGATAACAATGAGCCCCGTATTATTGCTTTCGGTAATAAAAGTCTAACTGACGTAGAAAAACGGTACTGCCAGACCGAAAAAGAGGCGCTAGCCTTAGTTTGGGCAATCGAGCACTTCCATATATATTTATATGGGAAAAAGTTCGAACTTGTCACCGATCATAAACCCCTAGAAGTCATATTTGGTATACGATCAAAGCCTTGTGCACGAATCGAACGTTGGGTCCTTCGATTACAAACATATGATTATAAAGTAATATATAAACCGGGCAAATCGAACATAGCAGATCCATTATCCCGTCTATGCAGGGCTACCAACTCACAAGAAGGTTCTCTTGGAGGCGAATATCATGTCAACCAGATTGTGCAATATGCACGACCTTTTGCATTACCACTTAAGACAATTATTGATGTATCGAATAACGATAAGGAATTTAAATTGGTTAAGGATGGGTTACTGAATGATAATTGGGATCATTCAGTAAATAATTACAAATTATTTCAACATGAACTCTGGTTACATGATGGCGTTTTGTTAAGAGGTACCAAGATAGTAATTCCTACTGAGTTGAGGGGTATAGTTTTGGCAGCAGCCCATGAAGGCCACCCAGGTATAGCCAACATGAAGGCTAGGTTACGTACCAAGGTCTGGTGGCCGAAAATAGACAAGGACGCCGAAAAAACTGTAAAAAATTGCAGAGGGTGTACCTTAGTCTCGGCTCCTAATCCACCATTACCTATGATAAGGCGTGAACTGCCTTCAAAAGCCTGGGTGGATACTGCTGTTGACTTTTTGGGTCCTTTGCCTAGTGGAGATTATCTTTTTGTGATTATCGATTATTACAGTCGATACAAAGAGATTGAGATCATGAAAACAATATCTGCACAAGATACAATTAGAGTGTTAAAGAAAATTTTTTCACGTACCGGGAATCCTGCTAGCATAACGGCTGACAACGGCAGACAATTTTGTAGTCAAGAATTCAAGGCATTTTGTAGTGAACATGGAATTACACTCTTTAATACGATCCCTTACTGGCCTCAACAAAACGGTGAGGTTGAGAGACAAAACAGGGATATCCTTAAAAGACTTAAAATCAGTCAATGCGAGAAATCAGACTGGAAAGACGTTTTGTTAAAATACCTAATAATGTACAATAGTACACCGCATTCATCCACAGGTAAATCTCCATCAGAGCTATTCTATGGAAGGCAATTCAGAGATAAATTACCCTTTTTAACAGATCTTGAAACCAGTTATAACGATTTAGAAGTTAGAGACCGGGATAAAGAAACAAAAGACAAAATTAAATTAATCGAAGACAGAAAGAGAAAGGCTACAGACAGAGAATTAGGAATTGGCGAGAAAGTCTATGTAAAGAACTTTGTCAAAGAAAATAAAATAACTCCAGACTACAATCCATCACCTCACACCGTAATAAGCGCTGAAGGAAGTGATATAAACGTAAGGAACGATGAAACTGGCCAGGAGTACAGGCGAAATATTGTACATCTGAAGAAAGTAGAAGGCGAATGGAAAGTTATTAATCAGGGAGATGTATCTAATAAAGATGAATAGTAATTTACGGTCATCTATTACCAGCAAAGTTAAGTGTATCTAGTAAATTAGAATAGTGATTTATGATTTAGAAAATTAACAAATTAATTATATTAAAAGGAAGAGATGTGACGTATACCATTATATAATAAAATATAGGACGCAAGCCAACGGCAACGCCATTCGTTCACTTCCGATCTGACACTCGGAGCGGGCGAGCGTGCTGTGGAGTTGGGTGCCTATGTACATAATTGTGTGGTGTTTTATTACAAGTACCCCTATATAAAAAGTGGATATCACAAAGACAATCTTATATATACTACGAGCTGGAACCCGCGACTTTGTTTTGCGTGGAATTTGAAAAACGCTGCCTTAGTGGGTTCAAAATTTTATAGGGTTTTTCGGTCTAGCCGTTTCAAAAAACAATCAGTTTAAAAAAAAAAACTGGTTTTTAGGCATAATTATGTATCGTGCAAATAACCGTTTAAGCATGAAAAACCTATTATTTTGACATTATAGACACTTCAATTTCATTTATTTGTATCCATAATATACTATAAGTAGAAAATATATTCAATACTACCCAGCCATAAGGAGTAAAGAGTGTAGCTCTTATTCATTTTTAAGTATAATACCTAAGTAAGTTTGCGAGAAGTGAAAGACATTTTCGCTCTATCTTGATTAAGGGCTAATGCCGGCCGTAGGTACAAGAATACATAAAGCACGAAAAGAAAATGTCAATAAATGCATGAATGAACAAAAAATGATTCACCGTGTATCATTTCTAAACGAATCATAAAATTATAAAGAGGGGTACCTCTGCAAAGATTCGAGCAACTGAAGATGGCGATAGCAGGAAGTACCGTCACATTGCAAAGGAGGAAGAGACGTGAATTATTATGTTCTGTGTCAAGGTCTCTATGGACCCTAGTGCAAAGATATACTTCGTCGAAGACCCTGGAATACAGCGGGATGCGCAAACAACCGCGCACACCGCGTAACGTAAAACGCGTCGTGAAATGTGCTTTAATTTTTTACATATATATACATATCTGCACTCTACAGAAGCTGCGGGCCCGCAACCGCTTCGTGAGTTCTTAGCCTCAGTGAGGCAGACACATCATTAAGTATATGGAGCGAAGCAGAAGTCTGGAAGAATGATAGATGGAAGCTTTTGACCAAAAGGCGTGGTATTCCTTCGCTACCGTGGATAAGTTTTAACCGAATAACAAACTTTTCTTAAATTATATTTACTACCACAGAATATATATTTAAACTAGCTTTTGCCCGCGGCTTCGGCCACTCAAATGTCGGTTATCGCGGTAAAAAGTCTATGTCTGGCCTCAAGAATCAAAGTATCTTCATATCAAATCTCATCTATATCGGTTCAGCGGTTATTGATTCCCCGTACAAACTTCCACCCCCTTTTTACCCGCCTTAACGGTTGATTTCTGGGTTAAAAACCTATGTGTATGTCCTTTCCCGGGACCCGGACGATGTCTGTACCAAGTTTTATCTAAATCGATTCAGCGGTTAAAGCGTGAAGAGGTAACAGACAGACACAGATTAGATTTAGATCAGATATAGATTAGTATGGATTAAGACATTTTTCTATGAAGTATTTAAAGCTATGCAGTCAATTCATTATTTATCATCAAAACATTATGGTAAAAAAATTTTAGAAGTTGACGTCTTGAGACCTACTCATGGATGTATCCGCAACTTCCATAGGTTTTTTGCCTTAGTGATTAACCGTGTTTTTTGTTTCGCTTTTGCATAAGAAAGTGGAGCAGGCTCTTCTCCGATAATTTCAATAGGGACTCGAACGCCACCCAAGCCAGATACCTGACTAGTGTACCTGCATTATGTTTGAAGCAATAACATTAAAGCGTCGGTAGACCAGCTGTGTTGGTTTGTATTACTTTACCTGAGTTTTATTTTTTGTAGTACTAAAGGGCTTTTGTTTCTTTCAATATTCAGAATTTGTAATTCTGAATATTGAAAGAAACCCAGTAAAAAAGTAAGAAAGTAGCCAATACCTAGGATTTTAACTTCTCTTGATATTGCGATAAGCCAAAGTTATTTAAAAAATCCTTATGGCCATTATCTTACAAAATTAATTAGCAATAATGAAAATTAAAACGAATAATGGGAATTTAATATAGATTCCTGATATGCACTGTACTGGCGCTTGCCTTGAAAAGGTCAGAATATCCCGAGTTATAAAGTTTTTAGGGTTGATTTAAGACGATTTACACTTTTTTTATATGGTAACTATATTGTTATTTAATTACGCCCATAGCTAAGTAACTTGATATTCCGATACAAACCGCAACAATGACTCTAAAAGCTATCAAATTAATATTTCTAAGGAAACGACATCGTTAAATGTAATCAAACCAAGATTGTAATTTGATAGCAGTTCGTGACTTTCAGTGCATCGATGATGTGTTCTGGATATAAATGTACTTTTATCAAAGGTATTATTAATAAAGAAAATATCTACCTATTTGCTTTAGCGCTATGTTATTTTCTTATGTTCTATTTTGCGATAAAAAATCTTATTTACAAAGAAGAGGAGCATCCTGAACCACAAAGCTTTCCACTTGTAATATATTTAATAAAAGAATAAATTATGGTACGTGGTATTTTTAGTTTGGTATATAATAATTACGAATTTTTATTTAGAGTAATATCAATAAAAAATAACTGAGCGAGCTAAAAACAAGTAAAGTAATAACTATATAATATCTATTTACACTAAAAATCTATTACAAATTATTGTATAACTTACTCCATTACAGGTTCCAAAGTCCCTTGTGGCTCCCACATTGTCAAATTAAGTTATAAAAAAAACAAACACGGAAATACAACACGAACTGACGCACCGATGTTCAGACGACCGGGTCGAAAGACGGTTCATAAATTTATACCTTGCAATAATTACGGATAGTACAACGTGCTCTCAGCATAAACCTGTTCTACAAGTATTATGATCATTGACCACAGTACAGTGTTAATGAATTCAAAAAGAAGAAGAAAGTGTCATCTGTTGTTTAACAATATTACAAAAGAGCATACTTTAAATCACTCATGTTCAATTGAATACATTTATGGTATGTAGCCTTGAGTTATTCTATGTATTCATTCACATGATTAGAGCGGCTGTTGTCGTCTTTATGATACAAAAAGTACGTGTTAGTATTTGCGGCATATTTTTTTCTTTGTCCTTGGCACGGTATTATAGACAGTTGTAACATGACATTTTAATCCACATCCTACAGAGTAATTTTATAATGAACTAATGTCATTTTGTGAAAATAAGGAGTGGACTTGCATTGGTGTAGAAATATTTAAAGGCATTTCTCGTTCTTTCACTTTTATTGATCAGGCTAATGGTTCACAAAGATGGCTAGACCACTGTATAGTTTCTAGGGCAGCTGCACCGTCAGTGCGCATAGTGTAGATACATCGAATATAATATGTGGTCAGACCATTTTTCCATGTTAATAGAGTGCAATCTAGACATAGTCTTGCCAAAGAAGACTTTCAATAATTGCGTATTTTTGTGAAATGAACCGCACACCGTCTCAGGTACCAGTAACCGAGGAACCAGGTACACCCTAGAAAAGAAATCCCTGGTACCCCGACGGACCCCAGGTCATCTACGACCTGTAGACTAAATAATACCTAAAGGGCTCGCGCGCTCCACATCTCCACACCGGCCTACTTCTGTTAGGGTGAAAGATGGCCTTACCTGTCACCCCCCATGCCTGCGCTTATGGAGGACGGAGGTCGTTCTCGCGGCTGGCCACTATAGCGGATGGAGAGAAAAACCCGTCCCCATCCACCCGCGGCCACACTCAAGGCAGTTCGAGGGGCTGGTAACCGCGCCTCCGCCGCTCGGATCACCGGCGGCGAAGTCGGTCCCAGTGTACGTCGTCCTCCCGGGCCCTCTCCGCCGCCTCCTTCTGCGAGATGTCTTCACAGAAGAATGGGACCACGGTAAAACATCTGTCACGCGCCTCTACGGCGGCAAAGCCAGCATGCGGAACTTTCGGCCCCGAACAACATGTACACCCTGCACTATCGAAAGGTTTTTAGTAACATACGTGGGAATGAGGTAAAAACTTGGCTACGATCGACAATGACAGAAAACCGACTTGTAGGCCTCTGCATGATGAGAGTGCATAGAAAGAGGTTGCTGAAAGCACCAAATAATTTTATAAACTAAATTTTAAACAGGTTTTTCCGAAAACCTCGCAGGCTATTTTTGAAAAAAAAAATGAAATGATTTATCAAATTTGTTAATTTGCCCCACCCCTAAATATATGCTGGGTACGCCCATTAACAAGGTAAACAATACACTAATAAATGTAATAGGCACTAGAGACTTCTTGACCTTCCAGAGGAATTTCAAAGATAAGCAATTCTTTCGTTGCCTTTCACTGAGTGATTGAGGTTACCGGAGCCCAAATCCGCTGACTCGAGCGGAAGGGACGGGAGGCGCAGCAACACACTTGTGACTTTTGAGTTGCAGGTGTCCATGGGCAGCGGTAGTTGCTTACCATCAGGTGACCCATCTGCTTGTTTGCCCCCTTCCACCATACCTTACCATAAAGAGAATAGTGATAATAATAATATTTACGAGTATTTAGATAAAGTGTACAATAATTTATAATAAATTGTTCACTAATTTATAAATAAAATACATGTGTTGTTTACCCGAACTAGGTTGAACCTGTCTCAGGCTGCAAAAGTGCTTACAAACTATTTTATCAATATGAATCTACTCGGTACTTACAGCTGACCCAACACATCAAACCTTATGACAATTCGTTCGGGTTTCGCGCCGGACTATCTACTGAAAGCGCAGTTTTGTGTGTTATACACTTTCGATATAATGCTGCTAAACACTTTCGATATAACTGTGGCAAGAGATATGGGCCTGTAGTTATTCTTATATGCCGGCCGTCTTATTTTGTCTTAAAACATGCAATGGCACGTCAAATGTATGTATGTCGGAGAGACAACCGGATGGCGAGTGGTAATCTGAGCCTTGGAGTGATACAGAGCCCCCTAATATCGACCGAACTGACCCCAAGTGGACTTCTAACAATTGAGTGTGGCGGTAGAAAGTAGCCTATATTTCTGGCTTATAATGTAGCTTTCCATGAGTGAAAGAATTTTTAAAATCGGTTTAGTGGTTTACAAACGCCATCTAAACGCAAGTTCATGTATGTCTTTACGAGTTCATGTATGAACTCTGGAGATCTAGATTCGACAAACTGTGTGAAAGCAATTTGTACTTCCTCCTCGGAAGAAAATTTTTTATGACGTAGAAAATTCTTCAAATCACGAAAAAAGTCTAAAGGTAAAGGAAAAGGTAGTCTGTTGTAGCAAGGTCTGGCGAGTACGGAGGATGACGTATGGTTTCTAACTGCAGCTCCTGTAGAGTTACAACAGTTTCTCGTGCAGTGTAAGGTCTTGCGTATCATGGAGCAATAATGGTGAACATCGATTTAAGAGTCGGGGCTGTTTCACTGCCAGTTTCGCCATCATAAAAATCTGCTGTTATTGCCTGACCAGACCTGAGAAAGCTATAGTGAATACCACCATGAAGAGACCACCAAGCAATTACCATTATCTTATTATTGGTAAGCTTTGTTTTAGGGCCTTGTTACAGAGATAAAGCTTCTTACAAAAGCGCGAATCATGTGTGCATGACCACTGGCCGCTTGTCTACCAATGGGTCTACCAATAGGGATGACCTGGTTTTGACAGCTCATAGCGGCCATGTTTGATGATGGATCTTTGACGTCTCTTGAAATTTGTATTCAGTAAGGTTTGCCATTTTATCATGTCACGTTTCAGTTTAAACCAACGCTTGGAAATTGTCCAAAATTATTAGGCAAATTCGCGTACTCCTACCGCTACAGTAAGAGCGCTTTGCGCAAAAAGTGGTAGTCATAGTGCTCTTTCTGTGCGCGCTATAAATCGCATAATAACAAAATTTGAAAGTGAATTCTCTCCACGATACTGCTGTGCCTGTGAGACAAAGAAATGCCCGTAGTGAAGAGAATATCGAATTCAAATCGGTCAGTTCAACGCCGCAGTTCAATCAGTTAACCGAATATTTTGTTTCCGGAATTCGATGATATTGATGCAGACGACCTTTATTTTCAACAAGACGGTGCACCACCTCACATTACTCGAGTGAACATGGAATTATTGCGTGGAAAGTTTGGTGAGTCATTAATTTCGAGAAATGGACCGATCAGTTGGCCACCAAGATCGTGTGATTTAACACCTTTAGACTATTTTCTTTGGGGTTACGTTAAATCTAAAGTGTACAGCAATAATCCAGCTACAATTCGTGACCTTAAAACCAACATTCGACGAGCCATAGCCGACATACCGGCCGAAATGGTGCACCGCGTCATCGAAAATTGGCGTGAGCGGGTGACCGTCTGCAAAAAGAGCCGCGGCGGTCATTTGGCCGATATATTATTTAAAACATAAATTGCATAAAATTATCTATCAAATAAATTAATCGGATGCATTTTTCATAAAAAATTGTGTGTTTTATTCAATTTTTAAACCAGGACGTTCTTATTGGTAGAAGAAATTTTCACTATTAACCGTTTTCTTCGATAATCTGGACTTCCTCTACCGTCCTGGCGCAACGGTATTGTAAAGCATACATTTACCGTTGATACCGACCATATGATACTAGGGCCTTACAAAACAGATGTTAACTGAGCCCAAACCGGAGTGAGGGGTGGGGGGGGGGGAGGGCCCGCAGGGTGTCACTTACTTGTCACTCTTGAGTTGCATGTAACCATGAGCGGCGGTAGTCACTTACAATCAGGTCCCGTCTGTTCATTTTTCCCTCACATCAAATAACACAAGGTGAACATCAGGCCTATGGCATCAAAAAATACAAGGTGTACCAGACGTGCACTGATGATCGTGAATATACTCCGTTAATAGGTTCTATTCAAGTGGTATAAATTGGTTCAAGGATAAAAAGTAAAAAATAAAACAAAAAACTTTACTACGGGTTTATTGAAATAACATAACTATGTTATAAATCTCCATACAATTGGTTTTTAACGTTATCTAACCTACGACATATATTCAAATAATATATGCATTTTCAGTGAAATAAAGCCTCAGGTTAGCAGGTACCAAAAAAATTTCGAGTATAAACTTAATCACTTTTTTAAATTAGGTTTATCTAAAAGTAAAAAATAGCTATACTTAAACAGTTTTAAAAAGTTATCATTAATACTATAATAATTATACTCCTATAGTACAACCTGAGACTTCCACTTCTCTGCTATATTCAAGTACAAAAGCTACCAAATAAATATTGGGCATCTGATACTGTTTATTACAAAAACGAATGTTAAAAAAACTGGTCCTAATTTTGTACTTGCAATTTCGACCTAATCACAAACAGATACGTCTCACGGTAATTTCTAAGAAACGCAATTAGTTTCAACCCGTGCGAGCGAAACAGCTCGACGAGCTCTCCGTCGAGTCAGTTGGTAGTCAAACTCGACACAGAGATCACGGTCGCCAACGTTGTACGGAATCATATATAAGATAATAAGAATAATAAGATAAGATAAGAATCATAGGTAAGATTTTTTAATTATGTGTCTATTTTTGTGCATGTATGCAATATAGTGTTGTTTATTGTACATAAAATATAATAACCATCATATTATTATTAATCATGACCTCATAACTTCTTTTTCAGAATGGATAAATTTAAAAGAGGAAACCACTGATATCACAGGCACGGTAAATTGTTAAACATGAAGCTAATGTGTTTAAATAAAATGAAAACGGATACTTTCAAAAAGTCCAAGGGATGGCTTTTGATTATGATGTCATTCGAAATATATGGTGTATGATTTTCCTTTAAGATTTAAGGGACTTCCGATCATTAAGTCTTTGAAAACCAGGTCGGTTGAAGCTATACAATATGAAGGCTCTTTAGAGACATGAAGACAAATTCTTAAGGATAAGAAGTTCTGAGTGATCTGCTTTATTTTTAAGACATCGACTATATGATTAAAAATAATTTTACTTAGTATTTTGGTACATATTAATAAATAATAAACGATAATCGAAATTGATTTTCTTAATTTACTATACATACCAAAATCACAAATCCTCCTTGTTAAAGTCGACTAAAATTGTAACAAAGATATTGTAAATAAGTATTTTGTAAAACTAATCCTTGTGAGACTTTTCCTTTTTACTGTCGTATTCAAACTTATAATATATATAGTTCCAAGTGAACAACATTTAACATAAAAAAGAAACCAAATTATTTTGAATTACATTTGAGTTTGCATTAGCTTTAAAGAACAAATTTATATGAGAACGCAAATTAGATCCGACATAATAAAATAAATCGATATAGTATTTCTAATTACTAGTGTTAAGTAACTTTACTATCTCTATCGTACATAGTCGGCCAAAACTTAACTTTAACTTTGGAACACGCGGAAGTCTTCCTCCTTCTCTCTGTGCGCGTTGGAGTAGAGATGTATGCGCATCGCAGGCAGAGCCATCGGCTTTGTGTTACAGAGCTTGCAGATCATTTCAGCGCTCGAAGATATTGGTGTTCTGGGAACAAAATATGAAGTTTTGAAACCTTTTGTTTTTATGTGTTATTACTATAAGCCTAACTTTGTCAGTTGATGCTTTAGTCCTAGAAGCCCCTCAGGCAAAGGGGAGCTACTGCAGTCTAACTCCCATTTCCACATCCAAGACTTGTGGTTGTGGTATCCGCTTAACCTAGCTACCCGTTGTGCTCCCCTTATCTTGGAAGGTTTGTCACCGATACAGGACCTCTGTCCGCTTGATACAGTGACATTAGGATTACCTTATATGCATTGAAAATATTCGTGTGCCACAGAATTAATGTCCTAAATCTGTCTTTGACTAGTTATCTAGTGCCTTTTAAAAATTGTTTAGTAAACTTGCATTTTTGTTTTGGACCTGATTCAAATCAAATATGAAAAAATAAAGACATTTCAAAAATATCATCTAACACTTAAACACTAAAAAATCAAAAAATATGGTCGTATTATATGACTCATGAAATTATTGTGATTTCAACACTGCGTGTTTTACAATAAATTGATGTTATTTCTTGCAATGTCATAACATAATAGGTTATTATCTTTAACACACAATGGAAATTGGGCCTAATTTATGTAATTGCAGTCTTTTTCAATTTTAAAGCCTTGAACATACGTCGCGTGTCATAAGTTTCCAACGTATGACAAACAACATACGTGAACTGTAACACTGTCAGTAAGTCAATGCACATTTCAAACATATAACAAAAATCAATATATGTTTTGTATTATTTACAATAATTGTAATTTAGATAATTAATTTTGTCTTTGCTTAATGACCGTAGTTTAGTATAAAAACTGAACATATTAAGTCATTTTACATTTATTTCAAAGCTAAAGAAACTTAAGTTTCTTTAATTCTTAATTACAATAAATAAAGTTGCGACTAGTTATTTCATATAATCGTAGCTATACCACAGCAAATCATGGCTGGGTATAGCTAGTATTATATACGGTTGCAAAAAAAATAGAAAAACCATCTTTGAAACGTGTTGAATATCGTATAAAAATTATCGAGCTACATTAAGTTTTCGAAGCATACACATAACAACTAATTTTATATATATCTATACATTTTAAGTCTGTATAGTTACCGGCACGGATCTAGGGCGCTCGGAGGCAGAGTGGTATCGCTTTTGCTAGAACTTTTGACAAAATATGCACACCCACTTATTTTTAATATTTTTTTCTTAATGAGAATAGAATAAAAATAGATTAAAAACTATAAGACGTTACATAGTAAAGTTATTAAAGAATATATTACACTCACATAAATATCTCACTTTTTAACCAGAAAATAAAATTGATGAAAAGCGAAAGTAGATATGATAAAATTATTAATCAAAAAAGAAAGACTATTGATTTTGTCGAATGTGTACTCGTCGTAGTTAAATACGAGAAAACAATACCGGTGAGCCAATCACTGGCCACCGTCATGATTTATTTGCCCCCGTTCTACTTCATACCACCAAAAGGACCCAAAATCGACTTCTGCGCAGGTGAAGGTCAGCGCTCAAGATCGGTGCCGGTACCTATATGCTATACCTAGCTCAAATAGTAGCCGTGTGGTCGAATTTCAAATTTTTAGAATATTTAGTTTTATTTCATTAACCAGTATAACTTGAACTGACTCTCCATACCACGAGAGGTCAGCACACATATACTTGACCCCTGCAGCATTGTGTCGTTGTTTTGACATAATTTAAAAAGAAAAACTAGTACTGGTTGATATAACTAAAACTCGTAAATAACTACAAAATAAAATAATTATAACAGGAGAAAATAGTTTTGAACGGTATTGTCTTTGCTTGTCACACTGAGGCGAAAGTTTGTGAGTGTGTGTTTGTATGTTTGTTACTTCTTCACGCTCAAATAGATTAACCAATTTTAATAGAATTTCGTATGAAGGTAGCTAGATGGCTACCACCCTGGATTAATACATAGGCCACTTTTTATCCCGATGTAAAATGTAGTGTTCCCGTGGGATGAGCAAGGAATAATACACGTGTAACACCGAGGGGCGCAGGTAGTCTAAAGATAAGGGTCGATACCTAGTGGTTAAGGACACGTTTCAACTCTGGCCGCACCGTAGATGTTTACCACCCTTGCGAATTTTGACGTCTTAAACTAGGAATATCAAAAACTGTACCTGTGTAAAAAACCTGCAGCGAAGTGTTTTTACAATGTAGGTACTTCCTCACTTATCTCTTAGTGTAGTGTCAGCACTAGGCTATACTTCAATCTATGATGCGTTAGATTAGAACAACGACGTCTTCTAGCTCCGGTATTTAACGCTGTATAAAGTCCATTGAAAAAGCATATAATACTGTTAGCAAAACCTTATTTAGTCAAAATCTTTTTTCTAAAGTTTTACAACATTACAAGCCGTTGTTTTCGAGAAATTAAGATCGTTTCGCTCTTCTATGTTAGAAGGGTTATCTTAATTCACAAAGTAAATGGCGCAATTACTCCATTCATATCTCTTTGGTTCATAAATGTTTACATTGAACTTTAATTACGCTAATGGTTCGACTTCGGTATTCTAATAATACAATTAATTACCTATGGAATACAGTAATAGTAATTAGTCATCTCACATAAGACCAAATGAGTTATGCCTGGGTTATGTTAAACAGATCGCTGAAATACTTCTATATATCTAAATACATACATAAGATTTAAAAAAAGATTTCGACGAATTGAGAACCTACTCCGTATTTGAAGTCGATTAATTTGACGGGCCTGTTGGTCTAGTGGTTAGTGACCCTGACTGCTAAACCGGAGGTCGTGGGTTAGATTCCCACCCAGGACAAATATTGTGTGATGAGCACGGTCATTTGTTCTGTATTTGGGTGTAATTTATCTATAATATGTATGTATTTAGAAATATATATGTATGTTTATCAGCGGTCTGGTTACCATAGTACAGGCTCTGCCTAGTTTGGGATCAGACGCGTGTGTGAGTGTGTGAGATATATTATATAACGGAGTACCGATGTCTGGGTTGTTTTTAAATAGAGTGACATCAGCAAAGCCGACGTCATTCTTTAGATTGTCATGGTTTTCACTTTTAAAAGCAAATAGTATTAGTAGTAAATAACAACAACAATAGTAAATACCACTAAAGATGTCTACCAAGTTGTTACACACAGTCGTACATACATCCGTACAGTAGTAAATAAAGACAACAGTAAATACAGTTAGATGTATTCCAAGGTCTCACAAGCAGTTGTGCGTAGATCCGAACAGCCTGACGTCTTAAGCGAGAATGACCGAGTATGCGCAATGCAGCTCGTTTATATAGGCGAAGTAGTGGGGTGATTGTTATGAGTCACTTGTTTACGGCGCTCGAAACACGTGTAAGTGACGTTGTTGGTGTTGCTAGTGTTGAATACTGTTTTGCGCCGATACGACCATCCTGACCGACAGTGCGCGCTCTGCACTGGCCGTGTTGATGATATTTTACTGAGGTATACCTGAAACAATTGATCGTTGTTTTCTTTTTGAAATTGGTATCTGTGTACCTGGTTGTAACAATTTGTTCTATGTGCAGCGTACACTGTGGTACTATGTTGTTGCGTACTCTGTGGTACTATGTTGTTGCGTACTCTGTGGTACTATGTTGTCGCGTACTCTGTGGTACTATGTTGTCGCGTACTCTGTGGTACTATGTTGTGGCGTACTCTGTGGTACTATGTTGTCGCGTACTCTGTGGTACTATGTTGGATTTGTGTTATGATTGCATGTATTAAAAATTTAGATTAAAAAAAATATATCCTTAGCTTTTAATGAGTTGGTCCCTGGGCTTGTTGTCCGACCACATTCGCTCGTGAAGTAGGTGGTACAGGCTCATTGGTCGGTACTGAAGTGTTGTCTTCTGCCGATACGGTTATCTGATCTCCGGGTTGAGGTGTTCGGCGGAGTTGATCATGAGCAACTTTTCTTGGACGTCCTGTACCAACCACCGTTTTGACTAAGTAGCGATTGTTGTCCAGAATTCTTGTTATCTCGTATCTCTCACTGAACTTTAAATCTAACGAGGTTTGGTTACGAGAACATAATCACCACGCACGAAATGATTGATCTTTGCTTTCTTTGAATCAAATCGCAGCTTATTCTGTTCTGCGTTTTGTGACATCTTTTGATGAACATGTTTAATTGTGGTCGTTCTTGCTGCATCAAAGTTCCATTATTGGTTGTGTTTAATCCATGTGGCAATTTCATTGTATCAGGTTGTTGAGCGGAATTTGGCAAGTGATCCCACTTCTGATAACGGAGTACCGATGTCTGGGTTGTTTTTAAATAGAGTGACATCAGCAAAGCCGACGTCATTCTTTAGATTGTCATGGTTTTCACTTTTAAAAGCAAATAGTATTAGTAGTAAATAACAACAACAATAGTAAATACCACTAAAGATGTCTACCAAGTTGTTACACACAGTCGTACATACATCCGTACAGTAGTAAATAAAGACAACAGTAAATACAGTTAGATGTATTCCAAGGTCTCACAAGCAGTTGTGCGTAGATCCGAACAGCCTGACGTCTTAAGCGAGTATGACCGAGTATGCGCAATGCAGCTCGTTTTTATAGGCGAAGTAGTGGGGTGATTGTTATGAGTCACTTGTTTACGGCGCTCGAAACACGTGTAAGTGACGTTGTTGGTGTTGCTAGTGTTGAATACTGTTTTGCGCCGATATATATTATATAAATTACTAAGACACAGAAAAAAGGATCATGCTTATCACACAATTGTTGGTATTTGTTGGGCATCTAATCCATGACCTCTGGCCTAACATGATCACTAACACTAGACTCTAGTGACTAGAGCAACACAACAGTCAAACATGAAGTTGGCAAGTGCTTATATTATTCTTTTTTCTTTTAAAAGATAACTTCCGCACTACCCTCCTGTGTCGCGGGGAACTTAACAAACATACATAAAACGGACACAAAGAACACCCATCCCATGTGGGGATTGGACCCACAACACTCAGTGCAAGCGGCAGCGGATCATGATTACGTAACATACTTACATATAACATCTAAATGTAAATACACAATATGCATATAGCTTTTATCTCACCTCGCTTGACCAAACTACAACACGACGACCAAAACTAGACAAGTTAAATGCATTTATTTGTTAAGTTTTATGCCTTATCTACTTAACTGATCAACATCAAATACTGTATTTACGTTGTCATTAGTCTAATAAATGGCATAAGGTGCCAAATAAGTCACGAAAAAATATTATTAACTCAGAAACAAAATAAACACGACCGCACCTGCTAACAAGTAACTTGAGCTGATCATTCTCTCTCTTCAACTCGAGCAAGGCTTCTCTTGACAGCGGGTACAGCTCTTGCGGCACATGCAGTGAGTACACGACAGATCGCTCTATCATTTCCGGAACGGAAATCTCCAAGAACTCATTCTCGGGAACTGAGCGCCACTCCCACGCGTTAGGTACGCATTCTGTTTCGCGGTGCTTACGACGTTTTAATAATAATCTGTAAGATAAAAAAAAAGTTGTAAAAAAATTAAATATTGATAATGCTTTTAACTACTTTAATATGCGTACTTGTTAAAGTAAACTGATAGCTTATTGCTTACGATAAAACAAATAACAAGTAGCATTGTTGAATACGTGTTGTTTGTTTAGTCACGCAAAATAGGTTTATGTAACATAATTAAGAAGTGATACAATTCCTTAGCGATACAAAAACTTCAAGGCAACAAATTTCTTAATACAGTTCAAGATTAATTTGCTATTTTAAAATGAGTAAATATAATCGTATAACATTTAAAAAAAACAGTATTTTAGTGTAAGTCCGGCAAAATTTACACATTGCACTGCCTTATACGAAGAATGATGAATGATGATTAGTTAAAGGATTATAAGACATTTAGTTATAATTTTTAAATTAACTATGTTTTAAGATTCTTTTTACTTGTTATAATAGAATATTAATTAGACATAAGTTTCCGCAAACAGATGACGAAGTCATGAAACATAAATAGAGTAAAAATTACAAAATGACAGGATTCTAATTATGACAACTCTAAGCATGATGACATATCTTCATCAACAGCCCCTAACAGTCCACTGCTGGACATAAGCCTCTCCTTACAATAAAGGTTTTGGCCTACTACACCACACTGGCCAGACGGGTTGGTATTTACACAAACGCTATACCAACCCGGTATAGGGTTTGTGTTAAGTTTTCCTACTCTTTGCACAACTATTAAGTATTACTAGCATGAAATATGTTCCTTTTTTGCCATATTTTTTTAGGGGTACAAAGAATTTTGTTCCAAGAATTTTCTTTTATATTTTGTACAGTATACATACTCCATGAGATCTTTGCGAAGGAGCTTGGGTATTTGCGGACGTAATTGGTCGTCTGCAGTCGGCATATCCTGCCCATCACCACAGAACATAGTGTAGTCCATCAGGTGACGGATGTGATTAATCTGGAAAGGAAACATGAGGTTAATTCGCGTTGCTACTCAGTTATATGACCATAAAATTAATATTTGGTAACTACGAAAATGGCTGTAATCGTATAATAATAAAATAAAAAACTCAAAGATCACTTTTAGTTAATATACTGCTGCGAGAATGGGAGCGCTTCTTAGAGAAACTCTTATATCGTAGCTTCATAATTTAAAATCACTAAAACTAGGGGTGAATTGAAGTAAACTTTGGTCATTACAATAAAAAAACTAAATGGGCAATGTAAATCTCTGAAGTTTATAAATGATAAATTATGGGATGATCCTTTTGAGAGACTCAGGCGAAGGTGCGCCGTTCAGCTTTTAATTTATGTTGTAACACATTTCGATTAATATCTATATTACACTAATATTGTAGTATACTTATATAGCTCCTAGCTGAACAGTTTGTTTTTATTGGAACTACCAGACAATTAAAAATCTTTTAACATTGAATATTCAAATATTTAAGCTATGTCAAAGGCTATTTAACATCACGTTCCCACATTGACTCTGAGGGGTACGACTAGTCAAAATATAGTTATCAAATTCGAATCATATTATAATATTCCTAATAAAATGACCTATGGTTCCAATTGGTCAAGTTTAGAAATTCTATTAAAGGAGAAAAGATAGAAAACTGTTTTAATTATTTAAATGCTCATGTCACGTGTATGTCTAAATCGTACCTGATGAAATACTTGATCGGATTTACATGTGTGTGTTATTCTGGTAAGTATATTATTATACGTTTATGTGCGTAAATTGTAAATTCAAACGCAAATTCTTATTGTTTCAAAACCATTCTATGTTATAAGTTTTAATTTCTATAGAAAACTTTCATTAAAATCACATGTAATCACTGGTACTTTGTGCTACTGAGCGGGTATTTCGTTTGCCGTGGATACATTAAGTTTGTAGGATTATCATTACATGTCACTGGTCAGTATTTTTAGAAAATCAAACTAATAGAGAAGCATTAATATTAATTAAAGATAAGAGGTTTTACTCACGTATGTATATCGGGTATGTCTTATTAGTTTCGGATCAGACGGTAGCCCCAAGGGTTGTGACAACCAGTGTAACAGACGCTATACTGGCACCTGACAATGACTTATTAATACCGTGTATCTTTAATTAATATTAGTGAGTTTGTCAGACAATAGTCGGTATTGGAAAATAATAGTTGGAATATGATTTCTTGTACTTACAAGACCAATATCGTCAACACTGAGGTCAGCATCTATATCAACGAGAATATCGTGCTCGGGGAAGTACGGCATGCCAGTGTCAGTACTGCCGAGTCCACACAGCGCGCTCACGTACCGTGAACCAGTGGGGTTGCGACGTAACTCAGCGCTACATAATTATAAACAATCAATTTAGCTGATGCTGACAAAGAAAGAGGGTATATTACAAGACATGTTAAACATATTATTTTATCATTTATTTCATCGGAATCTGAATGAAGAGTTGCCTTTTTCACTTTATTCCAGTCCAGGACTAAACTGGTTCGAATCGTTTACATCGAGTCAAAACAGGTGCTAAATTGATCGCTACTGGAATAATATAAGCCGGACATGATGGTTTGATACACAATAAATAAAGATATTGATCTTAATACATTTCTGGTTAAGTATATGTAAAGCCCGTTAGTTTAAAATACAATTCTGTATGACTAACTCTAAACGATATTTCGTGTTTAGATTTGATGAATCATGACTTGAGTTGCACCAAAGTATCGTATTATATTAAATAGGTTTATTAAAGTCTGACCACTTCTTTCATTTAGCGTAACACCGAGCAAAAAAAATAGAAAAAACTGTTTAATTATGGATCCACGGTAATAAACAATGTACTGCATCATAAGTCGTATAAAATGCAATATAATTACATAAACCTAAATTTAAAAAATGTGGTAGAAATAGATTGTTAAGGCAACTGATTGTACTCACAGAGGACAGAAGAGCAATGCGATGATAGCAGGCAGTCCAGGGATGTTCGGCATCATAGTCGTGTGACGTAGAGTTAATTTCGAGTTATCTTCACTACAGCCTACATATGCCGCAACCAGTAACCTTTCAGCGGTAAAAATATATATTTTTCAGAGTAACATTAACACCAGTGCTTTGTCTTTTTTTTGTCATTATATTCTACAATTGAAGTAGTTTAAAAAGCGTGTATTCTTCTTTGAAATAGGAAGTGGTCTTTTTCTCCCAACATACTTATTTGTACATTTAATTGTTTTACGCTGTGCGAATGGCATGACAATCAGGATTGTAGAATTTTAGACAACTAAAGGCAAATAATGTCTTTATGTTAAAAATAAAAATTACTTTACTTACTTCTGAAATAATTTTTTTAATGATACACAATATAAAAACATCAATTAAATAACAAAATAAAAATAAAATTACCGCTCATATTTTTCCTGAGGCTGTGTGTCAAGTAACACTGAATTGACAGAGTTCCATTCTATTTGCACTGTCTTTTCTCGACTTGAGTACATTAAATTGTGTATAGTTGTTTCCAGAGGACTGCAAAGAAAAACAAACAGTTAAAAAGCTTAAGACTTGTTTTTATTCATTAAACTTGAGAGTTATATGGGCTATGTGGTTTCATTACATGCGGTAAAAAGTAGTGCACACCTGGTCGAAAACTTTAACTACAATAATTTTTAAATATCTAATATCCGTATTAAGGTTGTCTGTAAGAGATCGCCGAGAGCGATAAGACCGCCGATTGTTACGTCTATATATTTGTAAGTATCTTATGTGTTTATAAATAATAATTAATAAATAAATAATATTTTCACACATTTCACACACGGCCATTAGATCCCAATCTAGGCAGAACCTGTACTATGGTAACCAGACTGCTGATAAACATACTCATATATTTCTAAACACATACATATTATAGATAAAGTACACCCAGACACAGAACAAATGATTGATCATCATCACACAATTATTCGTCCTGGGTCATGGGGAATCGAATCCACGACCACGACCCGTCAATATAATATAATAAAACTAAATATAAGTTATCTACTACTGCTATTATCGCACTGAGGTAACATTTAGACTATCATTTAAAAGCTAGAAAACCCAAATAGAATAATTTATTAAGGTTAAACAGTCTCACCTGTAGGGGCCTTTGAGGCACACATCAGAGGTGCATTCTCGAGCGTTGGGAGGTTCAACCTCTTGCAGCTGATAGTATGCCAGTTCCAATTGTTCTTTATTATGTGCTCGCTTCTGGACTAAGTTCAGTTCCGTTGCTGTTTCTCTCACGTCGTGATTTAACTAAATAACAAAACACGTATGAGTCTACATATATGGGTTGTGCTAATGAAAACGTGGGAGAGCTTCAGTTCAAATAGGTCGACTCGAGCGAGGTCACAGTGACATCAGGGCCTCACACAAAAGGCCGGTGTTGAGCAATTTTTTCGTAGCTCTTCACCGCGTGAATAAAATTTACAACACTCCCCTCCCCCCCTCACTACAATTTGTGGATCACACAAAATGTCGTCCCACAACACTCAGCGTAGTAGGAAGCGGTGTGGCGACCGCTTAAACCACTACACCATCTGTACAGTCTCATTTACCACCAAGAGAGCTGTTTGCTCGTTTCCACATAAAATAAAACGTGTTAAAAAGGTAGGCCTCTGTTTAACTCCAGTTTAATATCTAACCAAGAAATACCAAAGAAACCAACTATTCTTGAGATTTTGCAATACATGTTGACCCAGTATATTAAATATCATTCCAGTATATTGCATTTTAAAAATATCTCATCGTTAATACTACTTCTTTTGTCAATTTTATTATAAAATGTTTACCTTGGACTCGTAGCTTTCTTCGCAAGCTACTGCGTATCCCCGTTTTATCAACTCCTGGTTGATGCTCAGCTGGCCGTTTTCGGCTAGTAATTCTATCGACACCACTCCTTGCACCACTGAATACACCTGACAACATACTTATCGTCACAAAGTATTGTAATATTTTTAAACAAAACATGGTGAACACAAAACTGATTTTGTCGATTATTCCTGCCATAACCTACCCTCGTAATTGACTTGTCAGCTAATTCTATTCAACGACCCAAATCAACGTCTAGGCCGTTGTATAGAATTGAACCTTGGATGCTATAAAAGCAAATAATTTTATTTCAATTGTCACTTTTGCTCATTAACTTCCTTTTTAACTTAACTTTAACTTAAAAAATACATTTTTTTCCAATCATATACACACAGAAACACAAACAAATAAACTAAAGCAAATATATGATTTGAAATGATGAAAACCTGCATCAATTCACCTTTGCAAGCAGTCGTCCCTTCATAGCGAGAGTCTGGAAGTGATGCGTGGCGGCGGGTGACCAATCTGAGTGTGGGTCCAACAGGGCCGACGGAGCAATCTCTGCAAGTCGACAACGCATCGCCAACGGAGGAGCTGTCTGACATGTCCCTCCGGGGAGTTCACGAATATTGCAAACGTGCACACGGCCAGCGCTTCCATAGTCTATATACATCACCTAGTAATTAAAAATAAACTTTTAAAAATCGAATCATGTATATCTATTCGATAAAGCGACGAGAGGGTAATTGTGGGATCTGCGATTGCGTTTAAACTCGACCCAGGACGTTATCGACGTGCACCCACTCCTAATAAAAGCATTTAGTTCAGCAGGAGGGGTTAACAAGAACGCTACTAAACTGTGTGACTCACATTACCCAGTTTGCTTTAAAAAACCTCATTCTTCCCTATTTTATTCATTTAATTTTATTATCCTTTCGACATCGTGTTTCCCTTTTCACCTGTATCAATCGTCACTGCTCTGCTCCTAAGATACTATTATCAAAAAAAATTTTTTTTTTTTGATAATAGCATTCGGAATATATGCCCTGTGTCGCAGGGGACTTTACAACATACATGAAACGGAGACAAAGAACACCCAGCCATACAAAGGAGCATCCCATATGGGGATCGAACCCACAACACTCGGCGCAGTAGGAAGCGACGTGGACACCACACCATCCGTGCAGTCAGATATCCTTTATAGGAAAAAATAATTGTTTATATATAAACATTAGTCTTGGAAGTATTGTAGATTGTCTCAATAGTTTAATGAATGTATACTTACGTCAAGCATATCCTTAGGCAGAGTGTTCAGTACTCGTACGCGGTACATACGGGTAGAGTTGGCATCAGTATAGGGTGCGGCGGCCAATAACCCCTTTGTAACGTCCCCCGTGTACGCGACGAGGGGTTTGGCGTTCAACTCACGTAGAATGTTTTTCAGTTCTAGAGCCGTGCTCTCATCTGCATATTGCACCCAAAATTTGCTGACATTCACCAGCTGACAACAAAATATTAAACACTTTTAAACGGATAGAACAATCTAGAATCACCGTCAAAACGCAGAAGGAGGCGCTCGCACTAACATTTTTTTATGAAGATCGTAAATTAAACTACAATATATGAAATGAATCATCATGAAATGAATGAATCATCTCATCATCTTCCTGTTCTCTTCCAGATTTTTTTTCGGTTCGGTGCAATGAGTTTTCTTCTTCCATTCTCCTTAATCACTCGACATTCTCTTTTACCCACTCCTTCACTTAAATGCAAAATAGTTTTTGCATTTTCTCTTATAGCCAGACGCCTAATCGTAATGTAATCTTTCTTCATGGCATATTAAGAATAAAATAAATCCGATGTTTAACAAGTCCAAACAAACTTAAACATCTATTATACTAGTAATGATTAACAGGAGTAATATGAATTTACCTGTGAAATAGTAAGTGGAAAATGGGTATCATCGATTTCCGGCAGGCGAGGTACCATTCTCTTCAGATCCAAAGACATTTTTTCCATTTCCAAAGCCGCTGCTAATGTTTTGGCTTTCTCCACACTAAATAAATTCAAAACCTTTTTTATTATAGTACTATATTTACATCTACCATAGTAATTGCCTTAGGATTACAATCTGTGCATATAGGATTTAGATTAGGAAACAACACAAAGCAACATCTTTTAATTGATCTTATAAGAGTGTTGAGAAAAGTCTCTATGTATTGCTATTATTACAGTTTTCAGTTAAGTCCCGGTAGGCAAATAAATAAATATGTAGGCACTAAGTAAGAAGTCTTTAAAATGGTTCCTTCAAATTACTTTAAAAGACATCTCCCGCACTAGGAATATACTCTGTGTCGCAGGAGACTTAACAAACACACATGAAACGGACACAAGGAACACCCAGATTCCGAACAACAATTTGTAGCTTACACAAAATGTTATCCCGTTTGGGTATCGAACCTACAACACTCAGCGCAGTAGAAAGCGCCGGGGTGACAGCTTAAACCACTACGCCATACATGCAGTCTACATGTAATTAATTGTTTTAAATCTACTTGTGATCACAATCATCCATACAAATTTTCACGAACTCCACCGTAACGTTACCAGTACATTACATTACCGTTTCTATTAGTTGCTAGTAGCTACCCATAAATTATGTTACACTACTTTCATTAATGTTTGACGTAATTTATGGTTGGATCCAGCTTCTACTACATGTAATAAAAAATACTTACGGCAATATGGGTATACGTATATCGATACGCAATTGGCGCGCTTTGACCGCTTTGTATACAGGAAGAACTACTTGGCCAGGGATAGTTGGATCCTGAAAGTTTACCGTTAACCGTAACATTATTATGATAATCAAATCTTACTTTCAAAACACTGCAAAAGCATTATTAAATAGAAAATATAATGCTGTGTATATTATAACAAAACAAAGTGAACCAATAAATAATTATTATCTATATTTAACAGTCCATCTTCAAAATTTTGAGTTGCATAATTTGGTTATAATAAACAGTTCTTACTCCACTATTCTGCTGCCCAGGCTTTGAATCCATGCCATCTTTGAATGTTAAATATACTTTGCTAGAAAAAAAACACGTGTTTTTTTTTTATTATTGCAGAACATAGTTAATCAATCATTTTTCGAGTGTTGAGTGCTTCAATAATAGCATTTTAAAATTGTAAGCTTAACTTTTTAAATATTACTTATATAGCTATTGTTGTCTTTGTAGCGGCACTAATCACTGCTAATTTTACGATGGAAAACTTACCAGCTGTTTTTGTCAAAAGTGACGTGAGGCTCGTTAGATATTTGTTTGAAGATAGCTCTCTTGATAACCGCTGAGTAAATTTCACCTGGTTGGTTTTCAGGGAAATTCCTTAGGTATACCTAGAACAGAAACAATGTTTATACTACAAAAAATATACATTTGAATACATCAATAGATACATCATTGCCCTTACTTGCAGGCAAAATTTACTTAGCCAAAAACTTTAATATACAATAAGTAGTCTTGAACCTTACTTGTATGTTTATGTATGTATGTTTCTTGATAACTGTTCTACTGCGAAACTAAACAAGAGGCAACCATGCTAACATTTTAAAGTTAGGCGTTTTATGAAATCTAAATATAAGTTCGAAAATTAATGCGATCAATACAGTATACAATACATACCTTTTAATTGATTGACAATGGTAAGTGCAACCTGATCAAAAATGCCAAGTAACTCAAAGCTATGTAATATACCTATTGATCGTTGATCATTGATTGGGGAACTAATAATGATATGCGGTATTCATATTTCTTAATATGTAAGTATTTAAACTAATTTACATACTGTGTTCCTAGGGTCGAGCCCGCCAAGAGTGCGGACAGCGTCACGTTCTCGCGACTCATCTTCAGACACCTGCACAAAGTACTGCGGGTAGAACGCGCCCGCTAACAATATCTGCAACAGAAATATACTTAGACTGTTGAATATGGTCACAACCTCATTAAGACATACCAACTTTCTCCAAAGAACTACAGCCACAATATCAAGGGCTACGAACCTATAACGGTTGGCGCACTAAGCCAACAGTTAGGTTAATCCTCGTACAACAAATATTTGGTTATTTCAGGGCCTAGTGTAAGTTTATTTAACATCAACTCGATCGTCACGGTGACGCGTTGGATTAGCCCGCACTGAACTATTCACAAATCGCAACGCCGAACGCGGTCGCCGTCGAGCGCGAGTTGACGTGAAATAAACTCGCACCAGGCCCCCCGATCTATATGGTGGATTAATTAAGTTAATTAAATTTACGTGTCGAAAGATAACTTGACCTATGATTATAATGTCTTATAGGTGGGTTCATTGCAGCTAGTCTGGAGTTACATTTTTTATTTTACAAGTCATATTAAAGTTCATCAGATTTGCATGGGTTGATCGTTTAGGGAATACTATGTACAAAAGGCGGTCTTAACCCAAATCTCAGTTTTGTTCCAACAAACCTTTAGACATTAAAGTGATTCACTCTAAAGTCTAAAAGTTCTCTGCTATCCTCTATTCAGAGAATGTAAGGGCAATGCCATGTGTAATTAGGAATAGGTAGAACGACAGTACCTTGTATATGAGAGGTAGTTCGTTCTTGCTCCACGCGGACCTCCCCTCGGGCGCCTCTATCCCGAGCGAACTCAGCCGCCGGTTGAGGTCGCGCACCATTTCGTCCAGCTCTCGTAGCGCTCGCGCTTGCACGTAGAACCGGCGCGCCCACTCGTTCTCCTGCTGTTTGGCTCCGCGAAAGTGTTGTTGTTGGCGGAGATGGTTCCACACCTTTATCACATCATTCAATTATTCACTTGTATTACACGGTGTATATTAAACGTTTACTGTAACGATGGACGCATCTCTTTATTTATGTATGTACTAACACAATTCGACTTACTGTCATTAATTCATTTAATTTACGAATGGAACGAATGGCGAAAGGCACAGGTCGACGACCGGATTTCATAGTGGTTTCTGTAACGGACTCCTAGTCTAAGGGTCGCGGGTTCGACTCCCGCTCAAGTCGAACATTTGTCTGCATGAACTTTTAATGTTTGATTTGGTCTGGGTGTTTCTATGTATAAAACACTGTATCTTTATGGCCGGACCTAAGCAACGCGCGGAGCTTGTTTAGGCAAAATACTTAGAATAACAAGTGTTCATCAGGGGTACAAAATCGACGTAAAGAAACTGATTGAGTGTTGTTAAAGCGAAACACTGTAAGTCGAGTTACAGTCTTTTAGATTGGCACGGCAGTGTCAGTCAAATTCCTTTTTTTTTAGAGAATACGAGGCAAACGATCAGGCGTGTCACTTGACGGTAATTGACTATTGCAGCCCCCATAGGCGGCACTCACTTGCGTCGACGTGCCTATCCCAGAATTAGGGGTGAGGGGTGGGGTTAGACCCTAGCTGCCAAACTCATTCGGTGAAAAGTTACAAACTTTCACCCAGACCGTGATATCACTCCGATCGTGCTATCATTGGTTATATTTTGTTTTCATGAATTGATTTAAATATATCTATATGTCCAGCAGTGGACTATTAAAGGATGTTGATGTGTGATGATATAACTCACCTTGTATACATTAAGGAAGGCAATACAGTCACTTGTCGAACCATCAGCCCACGTTAATTTCGAATTGTAAGCGTTCAGTCTCTCACGGAATGGACTACTAAAGACATTTTTCACTGACATAGCAGCAGCTATAAATAACACATAAAATATATTAACATTTTAAGCCATATAGAATTAGATATAATGAATTACTAATAAATTCATCCCGTGGGTGTCGTAAGACCCGACTAAGGGAGCAAACTGAGCAGGACAACAGCACTGCAAAGAGAAGGAAAACTTGAAACAAACCCTATACCAACCCGTCTGGCCAGCGTGGTATAGTAGGCCAAAACCTCCTTTCTAAGGAGAGGCATATGTCCAGCAGTGGACTAGTATAGGCTGTTGATGATGACTAATAAATTAACTACGAACTTATTAAACTATTTATATTGTAGTTCAATATTTAACATACAAATATAGGCTCAAGTAACCTATACTTATAATGACTATAGAAATTAAAATCACGGTTAATTGTCCTTTGCAACATTTAAGATTAAGTAAATGAAAAACAGCTTTCTACGAAGATATGATCAACGTGAACAACTTACAGAAGTCGTGGGTTCAATTCCCATCCAGGAAAAATAAATGAGTGATGAACATGTTTACTTTTTTTGAGTCTGGGTGTAATTTATCTATGCTCTTATAAAAATATATAGGCTTATGTAACAGTATATAGGCCTAGTTTGGGATGAGACAACTGTGTATTAAGTTATTATCTTTTTTAGCTTTAAAAGGTAGTCAAATTAACATGAGCGTTACACATTATTTTTATAATTTAATACTTACCCATGATTACAGCTTCTTCCAAACATCCGTAAATGTGTCCCAACATTATCAGTTTGGATAGTTTGACATCAACGGGCAACTTTGCACTGACGCGGCCCAAATACGTAAGTTCACCGTCTGTTGCATCCCATTCGTCGTCTACGGTCTTCTTTAGAGCACCCAACTAAATAAAATTATTTCCAATATTGTTATTCAATTTTTCTTGCAAAAACAGAATAGAAAATGGAGAAAGGAATATTAATAGCTGCTTTTACCCGCGGTATTTCACGGGACTATTCTGTCAGGAAAAAAGTAGTCTGTGTTAATCCAGGGTGTCAGCTACCTCTATGCCAAATTTGATCAAAATGGGTAAAGCCCGTTGACCTTGAAGAAGTAATAAACATACAAACACAGACACTCAAACTTTCGCCTTTATAATATTAGTGTGAGTATACAAATGCCCAATTCAATATTTTTCGAATTATATGTATACCATATTTTATTTAGGTCAATAGTTCTATCCGACTTCCCTACTAGTGTGAGTAGAGGCAGTGAGACTTGAGAATACAGTAACTTAGAGGTTTTCCATAGTTTCACCTGCTTTCATGGTTACTGCGCCACTTCATTCATTAAGAAATGGTATAGGCTATGTAACATAACGCTACGAGCGTTATGTTACATAGCCAAAAATATGGTATGATATGATGTATTGATTTGCACTATCATGGTCATTTTCACTTAAAGTTTTGTAAACGGGATATGCCGATATTACGGCACTGTTGCAAGCGCCGTCATCATGGATGAACTGTATAACTGCAGGTTTTTCTGAAGAGCAGACCTACATATATATCATAACGTCGTCGTCGTCGTCATACGTACATACGGAAAAAGTACTCGTAAGGAAAAAAATATTGTAACAATATGGCGCTTGTAAATGCCGAAATATCGGCAACTAATTTCCGAAAATAAAAGTGGTAAATTTTGTTCATGATTTTGTAATGTTGCTTTGAACATTTCTGTAGAGTCTGTATTTATTACTGAACCATGTTTCATATAGTCAATAGTTGTTTGCTAAGACGAATAAAAGTCCAGCCGATGATAAACAGACAACGTAAATTTAGAAGAAATTCCCACTACTGTTGCTTGTCAAAACATGAAGGGAAACAGTTCCACATACCCAGCAAGTGTATATGCACATGTATAGCTCTCTACGGTAAACAGTATACTGGGTAACTGGATCTTGTTTTTATACCCCTAAAGGGGCACGCACGTATACCGTATAGTAAGCGATGCTTGCCTATAAATGTTTCCGACAAAACATGTGTCACTCGAAAATTGGAGAATCGAATCCAGTAAAATGAATCACCCAACGCAAACACATATATAATATCAGATAATACTATCATAATTACCTCTTTTAGAACTAGTATTGTACGATAAATATTAGTCAGGTCTGGCGGATTCATGGCTAAGGCGAGGATGTCACTCGGAGAGCCCATGTCCAGCATCTTAGCGAGAAGTACCAATCGCTCTAGGGGACATCGCTTTATCTCTGGCTCGCATTCTTGACTAAAATTTTCCTATTAAAACACAATACTATGTTAGTCCCATTGACGGAGCATGACTGGCAATAATACATATTTCAAAAAGTTTATAATGTAGCAATTACATTACCATGTCTCAATCGCACTACTTAAATAACTAGTTTTCAACAAAGTTACAAGATTTACTGAAAACATGTCATAATATGAACTTAAGCAAATTCAGATTAGTCTTTAACGGTGTTCGAATACTTTAACTTTCGACATGGTTTGTTGATGTTTGACTAGTTTACTTTGACAAGTCTTGACAACTTGTTATTAAATTATTAACTTCATAGATGTGGCCGCGGCTTCCAAAGCGTTCTAGACATCGAGTATTATTAGTATTAAAATCGGTTCAATTGTAGAATTCGACTACAATAGAAACTAGTTCTTATAATATTAGTATAGAATTGACGTCTTGTAACCAAGTCCCGTTAAGTTATAGGATACGTCAGAAATGGTTACTTACATAAAACTTATCAGTCACGAGCCTGTACACTCGTCCGTCCCGCACTCGGCCAGCTCGCCCAGCACGCTGCTCGCAGTTAGTCTTCGTTGCCCAGGCCAATCGTAGCGAGCTGAAGTTGGTTTCTGGATCAGCCACTAATATCTTCATGAGGCAGTAGTCGATTACTGTTTGAAAGTCACAACATTAATTATTATATCTGCTGACAGACATTTAGCAGAAGATTCCTAATTTGCCTTAAAAACAATAAATTTATGCCTTTCATAGAGGTACAAAGGCCAAAAGAATGTTAGTTTACAACTTATATATCGTCAGTTCGTACAGGGGGCAGAGGAACAGGTGTATCTGACGTTGAGCGACACATGCTTAACACCGGTGTTCTGTAAGGTGGTATCACTCGGGTTGAGCCGGCCCATATACCTATGCCGAAGCTCTCCCACGCACATCAACGGTGAATATTATTATTAACATTCCCAGTCGATAAACGTGAGAATTTAAAATATGATTATTATCTATATAGATTGCAATTAATAAAATTACTTCACTCGTTCGAAATACAAAACATCAGACCTCTTCAATAAACATGTTTTAGTTTAAAGATTTCAGATATCGTCTTTTTATTAATGTGGCTGTAAATGAATTACTTCCTGGTGTTGGTTTTCGGCATAATTTAGGGTGATACTAAATGTGTCGATTTGTAGACCCTTTTATTACAGAAATTATTTTATTTATTTTAAAACTAACAAAATTAACTTGAAAATTTACTGACAAACATAAACTTTAATAAACACCAAGTTTGTTGAATGCATAAAAATATCACTGAAATTACTTTTAAATTCATTGTGCATTGTTCAGAAATGTGCACCTACACTAAGAAATTCATTTGCCTAATTTTGAAAACAATTTTGAAAATGTATTTGTATGTTTTTCTATTCAAATAATTAAGGCGCGGTTGCAGCGATTTTGCACTTTTTTGAAGAGAAATAAATACACTAATATGCACTTATTGTGTGTGAAAATCAATATATCAATATTTTATAAAAATTAAACATATATAATCTAAGGATCCGCAGAGATAGAAACATGATATATGGAATTTGGCTCGATAAAAAATACTCACAAACATGCACTAACTCACCATTTCAAAAAGAAATTACTATGAAATATCACACATTCATATAAAGTATACCAAAAAATAGAGCTTATTTTTTTAGGGGTTTTGTAGAAATACATGTTCATATAATCGTACTTGTAAAAATAGAAAAGAAAAATGTTTTTGGCTTTGCTTACGGCGGCGAAGTTCGCCTGTCAGAGCTCGCTGAGCATTGTTTGAGGTTGGACTCACGTCATTTTGCCCCGTAAAGTTTCCCCGCTTAAAATTGTAGATAATAGTAAAGTTGGTAGTAGAGTTAAGTTAGTTGGTAACAGTAAGGTTAAAAAGAGTAAATAATGTCTTCACATTATGTACATTTAATATAAGTAATTTGTACTACATTACATTTTTATATTACGTTACATTTTAAGTTAAGTTTATAAAAAATAAAAATAATAAAGTTCTAATTTATTACTACTAATATATAAACAATATAGTAATATAAGTTTATTTGTTGTTATTTTGCAGCACTTCAGAACTACCGATTCCTACAGAAATCAATTTCTATTGATCATAATACTACGTTAGTTAGTGTATGTACATATATACAGGGTGTAAGGAACGTCGTAATGAATGTGTATTCAGACTATCATTTTGAGTCGATAATCATTGGAATTTTCTGCCCCTGCGACGGCCAATCTTAAGGCGGTTCGACTATAATAATAACCTAGGAGCATAAAGACCTTAGTTCGCCTTATTTAAACGGTCATTTTGTTCCATTATTTTTTTCATTTCGTGTTTAAGTACTTTAGTGGAAAGCTAATACACAGGTAAATTAGTCTGAATAACAATAATTTAAAGTGCAATAGCCAATTAGAATTATATATCTCAAACGCGATATACTTTTCTAACCTACTGCGTTACACTACACTATGGCACAATATCTTGACGTAAGAAGAGTCGTGCGCAGCCGACTCGCGCAGTTTTTTGACACACTGCGTCTTTGCTTACGATACGTAAGCGGGGGGTGAGGTAACGTTTTTACACCTACACACCGCGCTACAAGAGGGCCTTAACAGCTGCAGTGATAGCTACATCGATTTGTTTTCTTATAGCACGAGAAAAATTCGGTGCACCCAGTTTCATTATTGTGCTAATTAAAGGAAGTTCGAAAAGAAAATAATACTGAAAATAATACTAATAATAATATAATAATAATATATTCTACCACATACACACAACGCCATCTAGTCCCAAACTAAGCAGAGCTTGTAAAAAAATATTTGATATTCTTACCGTATTTAATATCAGGTACAGTAATAGAACTTTCAGCTATGTTAGTGGCGAGAATAATTTTTCTGTGTCCGGGTGGCGCCCTTTGGAATACACGTACTTGCTCATCGGCCGTGATGGTAGAATGGAGAGGAAGGACCCACCATTTATATGAAGCGCATTGAGCGTCAACAACTTTTTCGCTAAAAACGTAATTTTTCTTAAATTGTATTTAAAGTTAAAAAGACGAAACAAAATCAAAGAGGAAAATTATTATCACATAATTCATTTGTGCGATATGGAGATAGATATAGAAGAAGATCTTTTGTCGCTCCCAACAAAAGACCTCCTTCCGTCGGCTGTAGGGTTTCGTGCAAAAGATTGTCAGGCAAGGAAGTCACGCCTAGAGTAGTTATTGTATAATTATGGGTGAGAAATTAATAGCTTAAATAGGAAGCCTTTAAACGTACTGTTGAATATTTAAATTTGTCTCCTACCGCCTACTCTATGTATAGAGGAGAAGGTGGTAATGTGGCAAATGCATATATTATTTAGAAATATGCTATCTAATAGAAAGTGTGTAACAGTTACAGAATTATTATAAACATATCCATGATATCACATTTTATTCTTTTGTTATACATATAAACAATTCAGAAGACGTAAATGTAAAACTTTTACAATCGTTTTATATTTTCTTCAACATTTCCCTGGATAAACGAATTTCCTATTTTTTTAATTTCTACATTATGTTTAAAAACATATTTGTTATATTTTCAAGGTAATAAATATTAAGAAATGTCATTTGATTAATACGTGGGGCATACTGAAAGTCTCTGGATCTGGCCACTTACATTAAAAGAATGAAAAAACAATTATAGAATTCGAAAATGGAACTCTTTCGGAACATGTTACTTTTTAATTTGCGAGACTGTCATTTGTTTTTTCATTGTGACGTCCTTTCGAGAATGGTGTCGCTATCAAAATTTAACTCGTAAACATTTTCATTCAATGATTTTTTATGATTTGCCAGAGATAGTCCAGAGACTTCAATTGGCATTTGGCATGTCGCAGCTCTGTGTATTCGTGGTTTGGAGAATTTAGACGAGGACGTGATCATCTCCATGACGAGGTACGTGAAGGTCGGCCGGCGACTGGCTGTTACAGACTCTAATATTGATATCGTACGACAACTTATTGAAACTGCCAAAAAAAATACTTGCCAGCAAATTTGTGCTTTGTTAGGGATTGGAATGAACCAAGTGCAAAACATTTTACATGTGCATCTGCAGGTTCGGAAGCTTTGCACTCGATGGATACCGCAGGACTTAACTTTTACAGTAATTTAAGACTGGTCCAATTGCTTTGTGCAGTGGTTTCAGCGAATGCAAAAATGCATTAATTGCGAGGAAATATACTTTGAAAAATAATTAATGTATCGTAAGTCTTAAATCTAGTCGTACTTATCAGAATCCAGAAACGTTCAGTATGCCCTAAGTACCTACATCGTAGATTATTTATATTGTGTTTGAACACTTGTAAAGTCGCTCCCTCACGATATTTGTATTATAGTCCTGGGGCCTTGGACCCAGTTCTATACGGGTTCGTCATTTCACTCAATAAAAAATGTAATTGTGGGTAGATAGGTAGTTATCTTAATGATGTATGTACATATTGAGTTAATCGAGTTTTGAATACATTAAACAAGTTAACATTTTTAATGTGTGATAGGGTGATAGTTTATTATATGTACAGTCGTTAAGTTTAATTAAGATATTTTAAGATATGTTAAGTTTTAATTAATATTAGTTGATGTCAAGTTGCCAAATTTATACATTTTTTTAAAATAAATGATTATGTTGCCGACTGTTCTATGGTTATTTCATTAATCCAATTAATAAAAAGCCCGGTTACTTATTCATTTGATTTTAAAGTACTTTTTTATAAATGATACCTCAAAAACCAACTAGGGTGCCACATTACCATCTTTTCCTTAACTGTTTGGAAATAAAAAATGTCTCAGTAAGAGTGCACTTTTTAAATTTAGAATCTTTTTTTTCGTGCAAGTGGCAACTATGAACTTTGACAGCTGTCACCTCTGTTTCTTCTGTGTTCTTGAAAGAACAACGCGTTATATTGTTATTGTGAAAACTCTACAAAATGGGGGAAATTTATTTATCAAGTTTCAAATAATAAATTTAAGTACTTACCCAAAATTACACGTTGAACAGTTATAATAACACTTACCGCAATGCGTGATCTGTTAGACAAGCATATAAATCTTCGATCTCATGTATACCAGGCAAGAATATTAGTACCGAGGGTAGGTCGGCATCATCTCTGTCCGCGTAGTTATCCTCGTGCTTGTCAATATGTTCAAAAGCATTCAGTAGCTTTATTACAAGGTGATGCATTTCTGGCGCGATGTAAGGTTCATCGCCTTTTGGTGTGGATTGTTGCAATATCTGAGAAAAATGTTTCACGAAAGGTGACAATTAAGAAGATATGCGTACTCTTAAAAAAATAACAAACAAAGATGACAATCAATAGTTATATCAAACCGTTCAATCCAAGAGTCACAAACTGCGGGAGAGATAGAACGGGTGTTAAGCAATTCTTTCGTTCCTTTTCACCGCGTGCGCGACAGACACGTCTGCTCGTTGATCCCCCCCCCCCCCCTCCCCCTCCTTTTTTTTCGTTATTCCTCTCGGATACCATCCACCCACCAGTGGGATGGTTATGTCGGACTCGAACCGACCAAAAACCGCACGCCGTCTCAGGTATCACTTGCCGGGAAACCAGATGTACCCTAGAAAAGGAATACCTGGTACCATGACGTACCTCGGGCCATCTACGGCGTGTAGATGAACCCCTCCTGTGTGGGAACCCCTATGACCCCGCAGGCGATCATTTGTTCTAAAGTGTGGTTATTACATGGCATAACAACAAAGAAACAAAATTCAAATAATATGGGTGGTATGTAATAGTTGGTATGCCTTTATTAAATATGGAACATCATACATCTTTTAGAACCTGTTGGGCAGCAGATCAGCAGTAAAAAATATAGCACAAAAAACTCTACACATTTTAAAATTCTGGAAATAAAACCTGATAGTAAGTTATGCGTACGATTAAAATAAGATAAACTAAAAAAAACACTTACCGAACCAAACTTATTTAGATGATTCAAGTAAAATTTTTTCACAGTAAACATTGCACCCTTTTTTTCAACTTTAACACATGAAGACATCTGCAATCCTCTTGGTGTTGGTATCATGAAGTAGTCTGCAAACGCCTTTATATTGAACGTAGCGGACATAAGAACAACCTTGACTGCGGGAGAGACCGTATAAAGCAATTTTTTCACAACAAGAAGTAGAAAGTCCATCTCTTGACCTCTTTCGTGAACCTCGTCGAGGATCACATGTGTATACTCATTCATTGTCTTTGATGTCACTGAAGAAGAAAAACAAATTTGTAGTAAGAGTGATTTTACATATTTCATTTCACATATTTTTTTATTAAAGAAAAATACCTAATTTCTGTAATAATACACCTGTAGTAACATATTGAATCCGTGTGTCGTTTGAAACTTTGGCATCTAGTCCAACCTGTGAAAAAGATTAAGTGATAATATAAAAAAAAGATAGCAAATTCATAGGCAACATTAGCAGCTTTTGCTAAGCCAAGACCTTATTTCAAAAGGGAGCCCTATGTCTAGCAGTGGACTATTGAAGGTTGATGATGTGATTAATAACACGTCACGTTTAAAAACGGCATTAGGATACCGGTAAAGAAGTTGGGGGTATCCCATATAAAACGCCTGCAATGTTTCAAAATCACCATCTGTAATGAAGTCGATATACGTGTTGATCTTATAACATGTCTAATTTTTGTGTCAGGGTTCAAAAATCGAAATTAATCTTATGCTCTTGCATTTATAGAAAAAAAAATTAACTGTAATTTTAGAAAACTAAGCTAGCAAACACGCATACTGCGGGTGTAGGTCCTCCGGGCACGAGTACAGGCCGCGCGGAGGTCTGCCTAATCCTGGGATCACGAGTAGACCTCCTTCCTTGGAGACCGTCGATCTCGGATGCGGGGCATGGCCGCATTGCATATCTGCGTAATCGCATCACGAAAGTGACCAGCCCCCATGTCGACCTCCTCAGACGCGAGCCCGCGGAGACAGCCAAGAGTGAATAGTGGCCGCCTCCTCTAGTAGGTCCCTGTTTAGTTTCGCAACAGCCCACCGCGGAAAACGAAGAAAACGCCGCGCCACGTGACCCCTACTGGGGGACCCAGGAGGTCCGGGAGAGCTCAAATCGAATATACAGGTGATTTGAGAGCGTCTCATCCTCTTCCAGGGAACGCCAGGTCTTAACTCGTGCGACGAGGGCAGAGGTAGCGAACGAAAGGTCCACTATGGAATCCCCCTGCTGTAGCACGAACGTGTTGGTGGAGCGTCTGTTAAGAAGACAGAGGCCCACTGAGGCCGCGCACTCCTCTACGGCTACGCCCTTTGCGTTCGTCCTGGGAGAACCCCAAACAATGCATTTTGCGTTGATGTCCCACTGCATAAGGACGTGCCCAGACGCTAGTCGCCGTATCGAGGTCTCCAAGTTGTTGAGGAAAACCATACCACATATGGTGACCCCTCCCCCCCCCCCATCTCTCGGCAGTAACATATCTAGTGCCTTTGTCTCTTGACGACAAGGGCGAGGAATGAGCCGCCGTAGAGCCAACGACTGTTGAACATAATAGGGCTCTGCTGCCCTGAGCCCCGGTCGACCACAACGGAAACAAAGTCCGCTGCAGTCAAAACAACTTCCCCACTTGCCGTGTGTGTGTCCCGTGGCTAGGCATTTAAACACGTCATCGGTCTTGCCGCCAGGACTGTGACCCTAACGTTCACAAGACCGACGAGTAGCCCACCAGCGTCGCCCAGAACTTTGGCCGACGCTACGGGACAGCTGACCCGCACAGCGCCAAGTCACATGGCACAACACCACACTGACATTTTCTTATAATGTAAAATAATATGGTATTATTTTATAAACATTTACTAGGTACGACGGTTTCACTTATGTTTTATGAACAATTGAACAATCATTATTTTATAGGCTAATAATCTAGGTGTAATAATCAAGTTAAAGTTGTTAAGTTCATAACATTGACTTAAATAGGTTAATGCTAAACGCATTTTAGCGCATGCCTTTTGACATCATATCTAGCTGAAATAGGAATAAAAAGCACCTACTGAACAGGTGTTTTTCATCTCTTTGAACACTATTTTGTTCCTCTATCTGTCTGATTACTCTTATTTCTGCTTAACATTAACTATATTTAAAAAATTTAGTTATTACAACGGGATATACAGCCTTGGCCAAAAGTATTAGGCACCCCAGAAAAATGCACAATTCATGTTTTCTGATTGAACAATGAATAAATGCTTATCTTAGATGGCATGCCGGGGTCACAAATAACTTCCTAGAAAAGCAAGCGGCTATCTGTTATGTTCATAAAACACCTGGTGACTGAAAACAAAGGATTTGTTTTGTATGCGTTCTTATCAGTCAATGTTTGGTCACTTGTGTTCAAGACTCTAACGAGTAAACAAGCTTTTATTCCTAACATAGTGATTAAATTGACACGTAATTTATTTAAAACTGCCGAAAAGAAATGAAATTAGTTTGGAAAACCGAGTAAAAATACAACTTTTCCATGAACAAGGGAAGTCGCAAAAAGAAATTGCTAAGTTAGTGAAATGTTCGCGTTGCGCTGTGCAAACTGCTATCAAACGGTTTGCTGAGACTGGCAGTCACGCTAATAAACCAAGAACAGTCAGAAAACGTGTGACTTCGAAGCGCGAGGATAGAAAATTAATACGCGAATCTATGAAAGATCGGAAGAAAACATCATCAGAGCTTGCAGCTACTTTGTCCGAAGATGCTGGAAAGCCAATAAATGCTCGGACCACCAGAAGAAGACTTGGAGAAGCAGGCTTAAAAGGATGCAAAGCCAGGAAGAAGCCCTGGCTTTCAGAAGCTAACAAAAGAAAACGACTTGAATGGGCTCTACGGCATCAACATTTTACTGAGGAAGATTGGGCCAATGTGGTATGGTCTGACGAATCTAACTATGAGGTAAGTAAATTTTACTGCTTTTGTTATTAATAATCATGGACAGTTATTTATTTAACTAAAATAATAAAAGTTGAGGCAGTTTAAAAAAAGTGTTTTTTTTCTTTTTTCAACAGATATTTGGAACGCCAGGTGTGACCTGCGTGAGGCGACGTGTGAGCGAAGAATACCATCCAGATTGCAACGTACCGACAGTAAAGCATGGAGGAGGCAGCATAATGATCTGGGGCTGCATGGCTACTGATGGGGTTGGCGAAATGTTTGTTTGCGAAGGTCGTATGAACAACGAAAAGTACATAAAAGTGCTCAAAACTGCGCTTATGCCTTATGCCGATACCAACTTAGAGAGAGTTATATTCCAGCAAGACAATGCACCTTGTCATAAGTCAGCGACTACGATGCGTTGGTTTACTGAAAACAACATTGACTTGTTTGATTGGCCAGCGCAGTCACCAGATTTGAACCCAATTGAACATCTTTGGAGCATTTTGAAGCACAAGATTAAAGAGCATAGTATCACATCGAAAACGGCATTAAAAACTGATTTAGTACAAAAAATGGCATGCCATTGCAAGGGAGGATTGTACTAAGCTTGTACGCAGCATGCCAGCTAGAATTAGTGCAGTAATTAAATCCAAAGGTGGACCGACTAGATGTTAAGTTTTTTTCATTCCTTTTTGTGAATTTTAATAGTAATAAATCAATTCAAAAAGTATTAGTTGTTTTTTTCCTTTATTTTAAGTAAAATGTAGGGTGCCTAATACTTTTGGCCAAGGCTGTATATTAATCTGACATGATTATTTTTACACTGGTTCTCCCTAATTCATATAAAATTACTTGCCCTGACTTAATGATTCTTCAATCCAGGATACTAACTAAAATTTTAGGCTACTGATGTTTTTTTATGTTGTATGCTCCTATTAAAACAGGATTTTTGGAAATTTTATTGAACTGTTATATGGCAGTTCGTTATTTTTAAACTTAGAAACACAAATGTAAACCAGTATAAAGGTACCTGATATCCAACTAGCCCACCAACATCCCATCCCCTCTCTTGAGCAACTCTTTTAGCTATTGATATAGCTGCAATTCTTCTCGGCTGAGTAACTACTATTTTACATGGTCGTCGAGATTGATAGCAGTCATCTAGGATCCATTGGGGAACTTGTGTTGTTTTACCACATCCAGTTGGACCTTCTACAATTACAACTGGGAAGCCTTGAATTCTATTTATAATCTGAAATATAAGAAATTAAAAACATTAGAACCACTAATTCATATTATTAAATAACTAATAAAATGCAATATCATTTACCTGCTGTTTGAATTCATTGATAGCTAATTTGTTTGTGTCTTCCTTTATTTGGAATGAGTATTTGTTATACACTTCCGTCATAGCTTCTTCTGTTAGTTGTCCAATATTCTGTGTTGACGCACCAAATGATGACAAGTGTTCAAGAGACTCCAGACCACCAGCTATACTCTCATACTGTTCTCTTTCTCGTTCATTCTAAAAAGAATTTGTCATATTCAAAACCTATCAATAACAAGGTTCTTTAACATAAGGATTTTATGGTTTTTTAATTTTATTTATCTCAGCATTCGCATTTTGGCTAGCATCTCTCATTCATTCTGTTAATGAGACAACTTTCAGAACCATATAGGACAGCAGGTCTGATGAGATTCATTAATATTTTGTATTGTTCAAAATCTCTGCCGATATGGGTCTGCCTTTTATAGCAGAACTTTATATGTCATAATAATATTTTGCATAACACAGATAGCCTAGTCCCTAAGACAGTCAAGAGAAAACATTTATATGTCATAGTCATAAAACTAAGTATGTAAAAAACCTTTGTTGCCAAAATCTTCATGATCTTTGTGTGAGTTCTTTGTACCACTCAACACTCACTCATAGTTAGCTTGCTTGTTATTTTGCAAACATTTTGAAAAAGTTTGCCTTTTCATTGTTTTCATTATCTGTTTAACCCATATGCCAACATGGGGTTGAGGTTGTGTTTTATTACCCCACATTACCATTACGATAAGAAAAATGTATAAAAACACAAAATAGTAGCAAGCAAATGTGTGCCTAATTGCTTTTCAATAATGTCTCTCATATCTTCACATTGTAATATTTAAATTTCAATTTAAAAATTCTTGAAAGGTAAGTAGTTAAATGCAAAACGTGCCTTCGGTTTAGTTTTCGTAATTAATATTATATTTTAAACATAAATTAAATTAGTTACATATTTATTCACAGAACACATATTGGACAAAAGAAACATAAACATAAACACTGAAACCGATTGTGTTTTCAGCACTCTCGTACGGAACACAAGGGGTGTGTGATATTAGCACTGCTTTAAGGGAACACAATAATTGCGTTTTATACTATTCATAATACTCCAATGCTGGAAACTGGAAACAAACTCTACTTACATTAGTCTAAGGTTATTTCTTATATATTTTAGGCAGCAGGGAAGGTATTAAGAAATAATTTTAATATGAACTGTTTACCCGCAAGTACAAGTCAGTTTCCCTCTTCTTGACTTCTTGAGTATATTCCAAACCACGAGGCAAATTCGAACTACGATGCTCTTCTTTACGATTTAACTCATTAATTTCATCATTGTATGTAATACGAAAACCACCGGTAAGTGGTCCGCGAAGTTTAATTACTTGGGATCTGGATGGCATGGGATTGTTCAAAAACGCTCGTACTTCGTCCATGACTTTTAATTATTCTTTTAATTAATTAAAGGTAATAAAAACTTAAAACTTCCTGCAAAATTAATGTGATGTATCCATCTATATTATCAGGAAACAAATTAATTAGAAAGAAAATTTAAATTTTTTAAACAACATGCAAGTCTGTTTACAATTTACTAGAGTTGTGTAGCTCCTGAGTGAGTGATATAAAAGATATATATCATTCACGACGATAAAATGTGTCACTCACTCACACTAGCTCCGAATATATCAGTAACTCAGTACTAGCTCACTAGATCATTAGATCACTAGCTCAACGACGCCGATCTTTGTTTCATGAGCGAGTGAGACTAACGATAAATGAGTGAGATAGATGATGATTGAGTTCACGCAAGTTTCTTTATGCAAAATGTACATTATTTCTATAGGATCAAAGTTTAATATTACTTAAGAATTAAGCCTGCCAAGTACAAGGAAAATCAAATTATGTTTGATTTCTATTATACAACCTAAAAAAAAGTACAAGAAATAATTTCTTATTTTTAATTATTATATAAAAGGGTGTTAATAATTATGTAATCTTATGAAAATGAAAAAAAAATAATAAAAAAAAAATAGGTTAAGAATGTAGTTTCAAAAACTGAATTTATTTGATATTTTAATCTGAGGTTAATATGAAAATAAAGAAAGGTTTGTATGGCGAGAGAGGCTTAAAGTGAGTGATATGCGAGTATACTGAGCTAAACGATCTAGATGAAGAAATGAATTAATTGAGAGACCAATCAATTGAATCGGATCAATGAGCTAGTGAGCTAAATGAGTTAGTGAGCTAAATGAGTTAGTGAGCTAAATGAGCTAGTGAGCTAGATGAGTGATATATATCTTTTGAGCGAAATGATATGTATCAATCTTTTCAGCTCAGTGATACATTTTGCGCATCACTACAATTTACTACCAGACACCAGTTCACAGATAAGTATAATGTAGCAAGCTACAGTAGTCTACCATATAGCAGACCATCAGTGTTGCCAAGAGTTACAAATGAACTCTCCACCAGGTTCTACATCTAAAACCACTAACGAAAAAAAACGGCCTTACCCAAATATTCGCTAAATTTTTCACTAAACCTTCTTTTAGTTAGCACTAAAGAAAGTAATAACTTACTTATAATTAGTTTCCTTTATTATTACGTTATACTAATAATCAATCAATCAACTATAAATTTACTATCAACCAATCTGTGGAACGGGTTATCGTCTGCGGTATTGCCGGACCAATACGACCTTCAAACCTTCAGGAAGAAAGCGTACTCCTTCCTAAAAGGCCGGCAACGCGTTTGTGACTCCTGAGTGGCAAACGTTCATGGGCATAAAGCAACATTCAAATGGTAAATCAACAAGTCAAGATCACGAATATAAAAAAAAAAAACTATTCTGTAACAACAGTTACTTATCCTAAATTAATTCTCCTTCGTCAGATGAACTGTTTTTAAGTGAAGAGTTCTTTATTTTGCGCCAGACTAGCTATACGTAGTTCCATTGTATTGAGTGTTCACTTCTGTTCGCAGCTCTTGTGTACCTACTATTTTTTTTTTGTCTGCACTATCGATGGTTTCAGATTGATACTATTCTTTGGTACCGATTTGTTTTGGGCCGTTTATTAGGATTTCTATTTCCAACCACAAACCACAGCATATTCTTAGCATAGCGGATAAAAAATTATACTTTATTTTATTCCTCTGCTTGTTTTTGGAACGAAGTTCCATATGGGATGATGTGGCGAGAGTGATTTAACGAGAAAAAGCGTACGTTAGAAAAAGGGGTAAATTGCTATATCTTTCGCTCTGCATTCACTGCCTGCAGAGCAATATATAGAGAAAGTAAGCAGTCTATTGCATTGCGTATTTTTATTTAAAAACTCAAGAACAACTTATCGGAGATCAAGATATGATGCGTATGATTTTTAGAGGCTTTGATGAGGAATAAAATGAGACCAGTCTTATTTCTCCACAGTCAATAGTATTCGAGTTTAAATACTTTAATAAAAATAAATATCTGCTTTACTTTGAAGAACTAGGTGTAGTTCATTATCAAATAATTATTTTGTTAGTATAATTTATTATTTTTATTAAATTAAAATTATTATTTTTAAACACCGTTCTCGAAATTATAGGCCACATTATTGATTTCTCTCACAATTCCGGAACCTTCCCCTCTCTCTAGCACAAAGCCTACATAATCCCATTGCCTAAAAATCCACGGAAAATCCACTAGGCTGGCAACATTGCTATTTAGAGTATGTTAGACTCAGTGTATTCGGCTTTTTCCCTGATTGTTCCCCAACCAGTGCTGCCAACCTAGTGGATTTTCCATTAAAACTGGTGGTTTCGACCCTTTTCATAGTAAATTTAGACTTTTGTATCTAGATGATTTTTTCTTGGTTTAGTAGTAAAGATTGTAGAGGACTTGGGAAATACTCTTGAAAGATGAGTGTGCGTTAACTTTATAGATAATTAGTTGCTCCCCTTCTGTAATTGTTAGGCACATTTTTAAATTTGTTTCACTTAAACTTTTTTAGTTATTTCAAAAAAACATTTCCTGCTGGGGTAACGTTTGAAACGTTACCGCAGCCAGACATTTTCTTTTTTAATTGTAATATTTAAATAAATTTTAGCTAGATAATTAGTTATCTGGACTAGGTAAATGTTACAACTTATTTGGTATTTGTATTTTCTTCGGCTGCGAAGTTATTCGAAATCCTGCTGGAGTAACGTTTGTGGGTTTGCTGGATCTCTGAAACGGGTAAGCGGATTGTAACCATCTTTTGTACATAACTTCTTAAGGATTAGTTTTAATTTGTTCGACAATAAAATAACAAAAATAATGGACCGTTTAAAAATTATTTAGGTAAGTATGAAAACACTTCAATACGTCCTAACACTTTAAATAAGACCTCTAAAGATTTACTTCAAACGTTATTCTATTGCTTGTAACTACCTTCAAATGTTGGGCGGGGTTGGGTGTGCTCCAAAAGGCCAAGATCGCCTGGAGCAGATCCAATCCTGGTACGCCCTCCTGTCCGGAGGGCGTACACGGCGAATGGTCATGGGGGAGAGCGCAACAGTCGTGTAGATCCCCATGGCAAGTCTGGGTGTCATCCTTCCCGTGGTTGCCGCCTGTTTTAGGTCTGATTCCCTACGAAACAGATATAACAGAAACACCCAGACGCAATTCCATCCCACAAAACCTATCCCTTCCCATTTTCTATCCCATCCACACCTACTGCGGACACTAAGTGGTTGGTGCCTGCGGCCTCACTATCAACAAAGACTGAGAGTGAGGGGGAGGGGGGGCAACCACCCGCATGTTTGTGCCGTGTGCGGGGACCCGTAAGGGAGGATGAAGGGATCCTGGTAGTTGAGCTGAAAGGCAACACACTGCTTTGGCCTGGATTTACACGGGAGGCTGAAGGCTAGCCACCTTTGGTCAATCGGCTGTAGTATCCCGTCAGAGGGCTGCTGGGCGAGAGCTCTTCCTTGGTGGGGGTGGACGACGGGTGGGACGACCAAGTCTTCCTACCTAGTTCGGCCTGCCTTCTGCCAGGGAGGGAGCTCTATATTTCCTTGTCACTTCTGGCGTCGTGTGCCTTCTGCCGCGGCGTCCCCACTTGAGGGCTCCAACAAGGGTGGAAGGACAAGGAGATGAATAGTATACCAAAAAAACTATGGATACTGAAAAACCAAGTAATAAAAAAACCACCAAGCCGGTACCGAGGGTGAACAACCCAAGTGCCAGGCTAAACCACCAATCGGCTGACCCCAGGGTGAACAACCCAAGGGTGAAACCGGCAAATACACCATTGGCTGCTGCTCAGGCAAACAACCAGACCGCAGCGCCATCCACGACTCTGGCGACACCTCTGGTGTCTAACCAGAATACGGAGTCAGTGTCGACCATCGACCTCTCCTCTTTGAGGGCAGCAATGCCCGTACCTGCGGGACCCGGCCTGGAAGAAACCGGCTGGAGCCTGGTAAGGACAAAGAAGAGAGCGTCGAAAAAACCAAACCCGTCCAAGAAGACCCGTAACGCCAACAGGGCGAAAGCCCGAGTGGAAAGGCAAGCACGGTGTCTGACCTCGGGTGGAAGTAAGCGGCTTGAAGTCGCTGAAGGGCCCGAAGGGGCCCACGTTGCCCCCGCCAGTGACGTGCTGCACCGAGGCGAAGACGAAAGTCAAGCCACGGGGAAGTGTACTCCTGTGGGGGCGCCACCTGCCAAGACGCCTGTAGCGGCCAAAGTACCCTCTAGGCAGGGTCAACCTGGACAGGGTAAACGGGCGAGACGAGCGACACGTGGAGGGAAACCTTCAAATGATACAAAGCCCGTCAAAAGAACTCGCCCGGACGAGTCTCGCACTCCCCAGGGCAGTGGCAAGCGATTCAAACCGCTGCCAAAGACCGGCTCCACGAGCTACTCCGACGCACTAAAGGCGAATGACCTTTGCGTCGCGGTCATGCTGGAGCCTTACCACGACCTCACCAAGGCACAGGCAGAGGACATCGAGGGCCAGCTGCAGGGCGTGCTAGATGAGGAGATCTTCTCGCCCGGCACGTCAAGCGCACCCGTCGCTGCGCCACAGTTTAGGGGCAAGGCCTTCTACAGTGAGGGCGCCCTTAAGATGTGGTGCAACGACGAATATGCCCTACAGTGGCTTCGCCGATCCCTGGTGAGGATCCCATCACCACGTGAAGGCACCAAACTGGTCGTCAGGAGGCAGTCTGAGATCCCGAGAAGGATCAAGGCTGGACTCCTGGTACCACAAATCGGACCAGATGATACACTGGTCCGTATTCAAACGAGGCTAAAGTACCAGAATAGCCAGTACAATGTGGCCAACTGGGCCCTCTACCATGCCGAGGCGCAGGAGGAAAAGAAATGTCTCTTCCTAGTGCTCGGCATCCCAGAAGAGGACGTCGTGAAGCTCAAGGCTAGCGAGCGTAGAGTATACTACAAACTGGGTAACCT